ATTCCTGCAGCATTTACTGCATTCAGAAAGGAAGCTGTGGTATCCATCCCGCTTTATCGGTGCTTGCAAGGAAAGTTCTCCAGTTATGAGAACTTTGCTGATTAAGGCTGCCAGAGGGACCAGGGGAATTTCGGCTCTCGCTTGCAGCTGCATTTTTAAATCTTAGCTGTGTTCTTCCTATAGAGGCAAAGTTCAAAGAAGCAGAACATTATTCAATACCAGTAAAACATGGCCTTTTAAGATACACTTTCAAATAGTGTTACATTAAATCAAGACAACGAAGGGAGGGGTAAAAAGCTGGACCCATCAGTAAAAGAGAGTCATACATCACTATTCATGTTCTGCATTTGTTTGGAAGGGCCCGCATTTTAAAAACGAAATGGTCCACTGGCGCCACCTTAGACTAAATAAACCTGACAGAGCTAGGAAGAATGCATTCCTGAGAGCACATAAAAAAGGAAAAGAGATATAATTCAATCTATTGTACGCTTCGACGCTGCGCAAGAGCCACGTTACGGCACCTAGAGTCACTGCGAGCGGTACCTTATTCCATAAGGATGAGTTTCATTGATTTCAATCAGACTAAATTCACGGCACGAAGAACTATTCACCTGAAGGAGATCAGACTCTCACTTCACAACAACAGACCTTAATTAAAAATACATGAAGCTGAGGTCTGCGTTCCTGTCGAGGTTTTATTCCCAGGGTGATTTACACAGCTCAGAGAGCGTGTTTGTTGGGACCTCGATCGGCCTCTTGGGTTCATTAAGGCCCTCTCACCCAGAAGGAGATCGGACCATCTTTGAACGAGCCTCTGCACCTTTCTGCACCGATTCTCCTGGCTCCCGCCACGTGAAATGCACAGCCAAGACGGTTGCGGGATACTATTTTTTATCTCTGCAGGAGGCGCATCTGTTTTCAATCTGGGATGCTCGAGATGTCCGGGCAGAGCAAGCTACCTATATCACACGCAGCATAGCATCACCCACGTTCATCCACTTGTTTGCATTCCCGTGAATCACGGTGTCATCTTTTGACGCACAATTCTGCGGCCTGCATTTTGACGGGACCTCTCTCTACTCATTGCACAGGCCAAGCAGGCTTTGCAGGTCCAGGGCTCTACCCACCGTAGGGAACGCTCTTTCTTGCTGAACTCAGGGGGCAGGAAGGAAGCCCAGTGCTCACTCCTTACCAGATGGAGCTGGTTTGTGCCCGAGAAGAGAGCATGCTACATTTAAGCAATTCTTGTGCTGCTCCTTCTCCTTGAGGCAAAACTGCTTTTGGAGCAACCCCCGGGTTACTGCTTCTCTCTGCTCCTTTCTCAGCAATGTGCTGTAATGGCACAGGAGAGCACTTTGTTGTTCACTTCAAAGGTGATCTGCTCTATTGATCCTGTTAATCAGTCTTACTGGGGCTTTCCCCTATATGCCAAGGTCATCGTGCACTGCTCAGCGGCGTATATTTGATGATCTTACTCTGGGAGATTTACATGGGCTAGATCTTGAGCTCCTGACTGTTTTTATCTGGGAAAAACTCCTACTGACTTCAAAGGAACTTTGGCTGATTATAGCGGTTGCCATTAAAGTCAGCATTTACTGCATATAGTCGAGTGACTTTCTAATCCGTGCAGATGAAAATATCGGTGGCATTCCACATCCTGCAGTAACTAAGTAAATATTGGCTTTTCAATAATGACCCCGTATGTGGGCATAAGGATGGTACGAGAAGCAGCAATTGTGTAGGAGTCAGGGAAGAACTTTCCAAGTCCTGAGGCAAAGCTCAATGGTGCTGAAAAGGGCCTTTTCTAGGAAATGAGTGCTGATCTACTCCATCTCATAAGACTTGCTTAGCCTGCTTGAAGCAAAACTGTGTAATATATGTACTGTACTGGTGAATCAATACTGAATACATTTTGCCATGCCTTTCCTGTAAGAATACATACCATACCTTTCATTTGTTGATCATCGTGCTGAATAATTATGAATCCTGCCTGCGGTATTTTTTTCCTCGTTCTACAAAGTCTTAACACGGTACCTCTGATGACCATAATTTCCTGATTTAACTTGAATTAAGGAGGATGCTTACATATCTCTGGGAGCTTCATCTTTAGCTAAATAAGCTGTGTACTTCATTTTGGCTACATTTGCCTCCCTACAAAACAGCGGCGTATTAATTTACGGAACGTGACAAGTGCACTGGAAATACAAACTAACTGTATAACCTCTCTATTATTTTCTCAAAGACATAAGATTATAATTATTGCCAGGTACACGGAATAAGGGCCTCAGATTTCCATGTTCCCAGGGGAGTCTACAAAGGCAAGGAATGGAAATTCAATACTAATATAAACCTTTAAAAGAATACCGATTAAACAAGAAAGGGGGAAAAAACAAATACATCAAAGGCAAATGTAATTGCTTTTGAATAAAACAGATTGCTTTCTACCTATCTGCCTTAAAGGCAGGCGCTGTAGTCTGGGATGTAGAATACCAAAAACGACTGGTATAAGCAGAGGCACAAGTATTTTGTAGTCAAAGGTATCCTATTCTCATTTAATAGCTTAAAGGCTTATCTGGATTTTAGACAAGAAGGGGTTGCAATTTACTGCTTCTATCATCCTAATGAGCAGGGCTAGTTTAACATTTGGGAACACTTTCAATATTGATTTGTTTTAGAAGAAGATGTAGGAAATTTGATTTGTTATGGAAATGCCGTGCATCAAGCTACACCCCAGACCTTGATAACTTGCCTGTGGAAGTCCCAGCATGGCCTTAATATAACAGGAGGGTGGAAAAAACTGGCTCTGAAAGAAAGGGTCATTAGAACGATCAATTCAATGTCTTCACATGCCAGTGCCGACGAGCCGACTCTGGTTCAGGACTTTGAAGCTTGGTGCATCTCTACCCAAAACACACCAGGAGAGAAACGGCGTTATGTGTTTTCCTCGAGAAATAATGTCATACTTTGTCCCCATGACATGTCACTGCTACAGCCCATTCCTCACAATTCTGAAAGACAATCAATCAGGATTGCAATTCACCTTGTTAAAAATAGTGGCCTCTGGAGATTTTTCTATGACAACTACCGCAGGCAGCAGAGAAGTCATGATAAATGTTTGCTGACACCAACCCAAATGTCATGTGATGTTTAACCCCTCTACCTGGTAAACAACTGAAGATAAATTTATCCTAGCCACAAAAAAAAAAAGCAAAAAAAAAAAAAAGCTTGTTAAGACTTTAGGAAGTTTCAATTTTACAGCATTTACCTAAAAATACCAACAACAGTTTTTACAATACAGTCTCACTCTTTAATTAAATAATAAATGCAGCCATCTTAATTATATTCAGCACAAACAAAGGCAGATCCCTTGCCGTACGGTAAACTGGCCACTTATCTACGCCTACATAATAAATCATCAATCTTTTTGGAAGGAGAATCTTAAAAAGAATACTTTTTTCCCAAAAACACAGATGGGCTAAAATGTAAGTAATTACCTGAATTGTATGTATAAATTAGGCACCCCAGCATTTAGATATTTTGAAAATCTGGTTTTAGGTTTTTGCCTAATTCATGCCAAGGGAAAAAAACACAAAGCTGACTGTAAGGCTAGAGACAGACATTACGCAAACTGGTTTAAGTGATGAAACCCGTAACAGAACAGCGCACCTAAACCGGTTTGAAAATGGCTGCAACTGGTTTGAGAGAAACCTGTTTGACTGTAGCATCAGACTTAACTGATTTGGGTTAAACCGGTTTATGCAATGGCTGTCCCAGACCCCTTCCTAGTTTAAGTTAAACCAGACTCCCCCAGCATCCCAGCATGCTCTCTGGGCTAAACGGGGCTCTCAGCTCCATGGCAGGGCTGACCGGCCCCTCCCCTGAACTGAATCAATTGAGGCGCAGGCTTTTTGAACGTCTGTCCCTGAGAAAGACCCAATAGGCATCTTTCAGTGCACTACAATGGATCAGGGCCAAAATGAGTTTCTTCTCATCCTGGGATAGATTTTGCTGGAGTCAAGATGGATGCTAAATACTGAGTTTTCAAAGGACTGTGTTAGCTGGCAGTCAGATAAAGTGTTTTGAGCACTGTGCCAAAAACAGAGATCATCGCAGGGTTTGCTTCTGTAACAGGATTCGGTAAAAGTGTACCTACCCTTGTAGGACACTGTAAATACAGCAAAGATGAGGGGCAAAGTATTAGGACTTAAGTTACAGAACATCAGCAGTTGCATTTGCAAATAAATCTTCCAAACATACAAGACAAATTGAATCTAATTCTGCCCCTCCTCTCTTTCAAAGTATGTGCCAGCTAAGCTAAATCATTCTAATTTTCTATAGCATTTAGTAAAAAAAAGAAAGAAAAGGAAAAAGGAGACAAGAAACCCCGCAAATCCCTCAATGCTAATACGACTTATTGAACAGCTGGTCAAAGCAACCAAATCAGCTTTATATCTGAAGACTTGTGGCAACTCTAAGAACTTTTCCAACTCTACCTGGTTTAGATCCTTCATCAACAGATCCATTATAGACTTGGTTTATAAACTCAGGTCTGTTGTCATTCATATCAATCACATAGATGTAGAGGTCAATGGGGTTCTCCACCTTGTTTCCATTCATATCGACTGCATGAGCCCTGAGCTGGAAATAAACACAATGGAAACATGTCATCAGCACAGTATGGTCTAAATGGAAGACAGTATTTTGCTAGTGTTGACTTCTAAGCTTATATCTTTATCACAAATTGTTCTCTCTAGATCAGGAGTGCTCAGCCCCCAGCCCACAGGACAGATTCAGCTTGTGGGGGCTCCTCGAGGGTCCAGCAATTTGGCAGCAGGAGAGTGAAGGCAATTAATGCAGCCACTGCTCCTCCATTGCCAAATTTTCAAGCTCTATGAGCCAGACGACATGGCCCCATGAGTCGGATCTGGCTTGAATGTGCAGAGCTGGGGTAGTAGACCCAATCCAGCATGTGTAGGGCTGGGGCTGGGGCGGTCCAGTATGATCCAGTATGCATGGGCGAGGGGTCAGGGCTGTGGCAAGAGACTCAATCCAACATGCAGAATCAGGGCTGCGGGTGCAATATGGCATGTAGGGCTGGATCAAGCCCCTAGAACAACCCTGCGCTGTTCATCTGGCCCAAGGGGCCAAAAGTTTGGGCACCACCGCTCTCAACATTAGTATTCCCAGCAGAAAGCAGACATTTGTTTTTCATCTAAGCTATGCAGGATACACATTAGTTCACAACAGGACACAAGACTAAAATAATTTTAAAATAAAAGTCAATAGAAACAATATCATTCTGGCTTAGAGACTTTGTTTTCCTTGCTGCTAACAGATCATTATATTTAAGTATGTTTTAAAATAAGACACTTAATGTGGCAATCTGCTCAGATTAAGTTTTGCCTGCTACTAACTGAAGTTAGGGCATGAGTTTATTTCTCTAAGACCACCAGGGATTTAACGCAGAATCCCAAAGCACCCTGTGGCCACAAAACACATGTAGCAATTACAGACCGATGGGATCTTATAATCGTTGACAGTCTCATCTATTATTGGTATTACCACACGACCAGGCTCCATACAGGCACAAAACCAAAAGACCGCCCCTGCCCAACAGGAGATTTTTTTCCGAGGGCAGGGACCCCATATACAGTAAAGAATAAAACACCTTCCTCAGCCTTCGCTACGACATCACCGATGCAATGTTACAATACCCGGCAGCGTACTGCTGAGTGCTCAGTTCAAAAGGCCCTGGGGCTCTACCTGATGAGGAACAACCATCAGAAATAATGCTGAAAAACCAAGAGCATCTGTTTGCAGGGTAAAAGGAACAGATACAGCATGTCAAAATGAGTAATTAATAAAATAAAGCAATCAACAATAGTCTGCAACAATCAGTAAGCAGGTGAGGGGGAAAAAAAAATGAAAAGCTTCCTCGTTATAAGGAACAGATGGCTGCCCTAAATGGGGTGCACGCAGAATGCATTTGTTGATGTTGGCCAGGAAGGAAGGCGGATGATGGGAGTCTTGTCTGATCCGTGCCGGGCGATGGAGGGACATCTGGCTCTCTGAGAGCTCTGCAGATTGGTTTTGTCACCCTCTCTTCGTTTCAGCACCAGTGAACGTTGCTGACCTGCCGCGGCGACATTAAAATCGGGGCCGTGTTCAAACCCGGCGCTGAGTTCTGAAAGGCGGATGAACGAGGAATGAAAGCTCCAGATAAAAGTAGCTCGGTGAAAAAAAAACTGCCTAAAAAAATAAGGCTGTCACTTCAACACTGGATCAACAGGTAGGCTTACCTAACTGGCCCTTATTGCAGTCCTCACATTATACACCACCTGTTAGCATGCTCTTCCCTGCAAGACTGCTAAAGTATAATGGCCTAGCTTTTCAGAGGTAATGAGCACTTCCAGTCCCTACTGACACCTTCAATTGGAGTTGTGGATGCTCAGCATTGCAAAAATTCAGACCCAATGTGCCAAAGAAAGTGTGCACAGCAAGTGAATGTGGTAATAGTCTTAGTACTGGCTTCTACTTTTTCCTTTCGCCATGCCTGCAATTGATGGGATTTCTACCTCTTCATGTAGGTTAAGAAGACCAAGGCTTGACAAAAAGAGCTACGTTGTATTATGATAGGCTGGATTAACTTTTGAACTAGGGAAGAGAGCAAAGAGCCAGGAGGAATCTAACGGTAGGGGGGGAAAAAACGTAAAAAGAGGTTAAAAATTCCATTTTTTAAAAATATCCTGAAAAAGCAGGCTCCGTGTTTAATATGGAACGTAGCATTTGTATTTCACGACTCTTAATGCTCTTAATATCTGCATTTCATGCCTGCGTATAAACTGCTTTGACTTGTGTCAGTCGAGCTATCCTTCATCGTGTCAGATGTAGCAATTCAATAACTTTACAAGTCAAAGGTCAGATTGTCTTTGAAAAAAAGTAATTCGGAGCTAAAATTAAAGTTATTATCTTCAAACTGAAGCAGCGCTGGGCTCCTTCTTGCTGTATTTCCAGGAGCGGAAATGGCTTCATTCAGAGATAAAGCAGAGTGTAAAGCCAATATCTTTCTCTTACAGATCTGACTCCCATCCCCCGAAACTTTTAATTACATTTGATAGCTCTTGTTTGAAATCTCCAGGAGTAAGTAATTTCTCACCGCTGCAAGTCTATCTTCTTGCCACACTCACCGAGGCAATGTACATATGCAGAGGTTTTGCTCAAGAAAAAAAAAAAAATTCAATAAGTACGAGTAGCAATCTTGCTAAACCTGCAGTGTTAGCCCTGAGCTCTCTGGCTAACATCAGCGTTAGATCCTCATGCTTGAATTATGAAGGGGAGAGTGGTGTTTGAAAGGAAGCACATCTGAACTGCGGCTTGTGCCTGGATGAACTGAATGGGATAAGGAGCATGTTTCCATTTATCATGCACTCCCCAGCACAGCACAACAGCATCCTCACTTTTTCTTGCTGGACTGTATTAACGGCTGAGAGCCCTTAAAAAGTTCTTCTTCTATCATCTCCTGGTCCAGCACTCAGGTCTTTCCTTTTGGCCCATTTTTTCTCCCTTGCTCCTTATTACTTCTTTCCCTTGGTCTTCTATTTTTCCTTGTATTTTCTGGTTTTTCTTTTCTTGCCTTTTTTAGGGGGGAGGTCTATTGGTTTGGCTTGCTCTCATGTTCCCGCACAACAGGCTGTGGGGTTGGAGCTCACACTGTCATCACCCACAGTGTATTATTTCTCCCTGGGGAAGTTAAGCGGGGATATAGAGAGAAGGGAGGATAACTCAAGGGACCCTCTGCTGCTTTGAGGACTGCTACATATAGGGACACCAGGGATAAGCTATTTCCTCCGTCTTGCAATGCTGCTCCTTGAACTAGTCTTGAGTCCTTACATTGGGAAATGCAGACATCCCACATTTCCATGCTTTTTGACTGATTGATTTAGTAAGCATTTCTTAAGGTTGAGATTTTTATATTGAAGATGGTGGAGAGCATGGTCTTGGCTGCAGGTTAGCGGAGAAATAACTAGGAGCAGTGGAAAATGCTGCAATAAAACCATTTTTTAAATCGGGTTCCTAAATGTGTAGACCAAAAGTAGGTCAAACATTAGCTGGTGGAAAAGAGACAGTTCCACTTTACACCAGCCAAAGAGGGGGTCTGGTATCCTTTAAGAAATATTTTTAAAATTATGACGATCTTCATTAACATACTTAGCAGCCATCCCCATATGTGTCTGAGGTTTTTCTGCAGACAATTTCCAGTGTAAACATACCTGTTGGCATACAAATGATTCAGTATCAGGATTACGGATTACACAGGAGGAAGGTGATATCACAAGGTAGTTACTCAAAGTCAACACCGTGAATTGTGTTAAATGTAAATATTACTTATGTACTAATACTGTTAATATAAATATGCATTATCAATCAGCAGCAATGCCTTTAAAATTAGATATACAATGCTATGCCTAATTTATGCATACTTTATTGTGATGAAATGTCTTGATCAGGGCATTGGCAGTGCCATCATCTCCTGCTTTTACCTGTGGCATGTTGTAGGACTCTCCTGGCTTCTTGGATTTATACCTTATAATTGGGTCTAGGGTGTGGGGTGGATGATTTTTAGGAATCTTTGGATTAATGGTGGTCTGTGAGCATGGAGGGCCGGACTTGATGGCCCAGAAGTCCCCTTCAAGTCCAGAAGTCATAAAGGATAGAGCTGGTAACTTTTTTGGTTCAAACTACTGGAATTAATGCTGGATTCTCTGGTTCACATTCGTTGTTTCCAATTGTCTTTTTATCTCTTACTCACTGTGAATAATTCCTGCTCATCTTGCAACCAGCCTTTCCTGGTCTAGCCATTTCAGAGTATATCCTCAGAATGAAAGCATACAACTTCTCATGGGTAGTGTGTCAGGCTTGATTTAAAAATCAGCTCTCAGGTGTTAACTGAATACCTGATGAAGAATGTCTTGCATTTGAAAGCTGGTCTAACTTTATTTTAACCATGCAGTTGGTCCAAAAAGATATCACTCCAAAAAAAAATCCTTTCCTCTTGAATATCAAAGTCATCTGACTATGAAAGTTAAGCTTGGATAAGCAGACTGCTGTTTGAGTGGTCGCTGCACGGATATAGAGAGATGGGAGGATGACTCAAGGAACCACCTGCTGCTTGAGGAATACTACACATGGGGACATCAGGAACATCGCTGTCCTGCAACACCGCTCCTTGAACTGGTCTTGAGTCCTTAAATTGGAAAATGCAGACATCCCACATTTCCATACTTTTTGATCGAATTATATAGTAACCACTTGGAGACAAGGTTCTTTGGGTAAATCTGATATCTTTTTAAAGATCTTTAAAAGATATCAGATTTACCCAAAGAACCTTGTCTGCTTATAGCCTTAGACCAACACGGCTACAACCTTCACCTATAGTAATCATTTATGTTGGACATTGATGGGGCTTGTGTTTTGATATAAATGCTTGAAAATATATTGAGAAACCCCAGATTTGCCCTTTTCTACCTATTGTAAGGCCTAAACGCATGTCAGTTGGAGGTTCTAGTGTTTGAAATGCTCAAAGAAACGTCAGGCATCAGTGATCTATTCACCAAGACAAGCTGAAGAGCCATGATTTACAACAGCATGGCTGGTGGGAAATAAATGACCAGGATCCGGAGAAACAATCCATGTTAGATACTGCTACCTCCTGAACCGTACTCGGCAGTAATTAAAATAGGTCATATTTACATAGGAACATGAAGGTGTGGTTGTGATGTGCTACCTACCTGTACCAGGTTAAGCAAGGTAGCACAGATAAGGATGTGAATGAAGATATAGCAGAATGGGCAACAATGGGTGCGTCTACACGAGACGCTAACTGTGCAGTATATTAATAATACGGCAGGGTAGCCTGCCGGGCAAAATCCATGCTAATACGCCATTGCACAGTAGTATTAAGCTACTGCGCAGTAAGTGTCACTAAAAACTTGTGCGCCAGCACTACTGCGCAGTAGTGCAAGTTACTGCGCACCGATTTACTACTTGGTTATCCAAGTACTGAACTTAATGTGCCGTAACTATGATGCATTAATGAATGTGTAGACACGCACAGCGTACTCTGAGAGCCAGAGCACATGTGCAAAATCCTGCTGGTTGTGAGCAAATGCTAAAAGCCATGCTACAGCCTTTTCAGTGCTACCATTACACCTATTAGCGAGTGATGAACTAGAGAGATATGCTGGCATGTGCTACAACCGTACCTCTGTTCTGCCGTGTAGACAAAAAGACATATGTGTAACAAAGATAATGAAGAAGCCAGGGTAATCCATCCTCTCTAAAGTTAAAGAAAGATTAAGCAAGCTGATGAGAGAGTTCTGCTTCAGAACTGCCAAAATAATTAAAAGTGGATCTGTTTCAGCTCAAGAAAGAAAGGCGGGTTTTACCAGACAAGTGTCTTTCTAACGTGGAGCATTAAAAGGCAAGCACAGAAACTCCTAGAGCCTGTTCAGTTTTTCTATAATGAGAAAACCCTGGCTTCACCACTGTATTTTGGATCGCTGCTTTAGGTATGTTGCATTCATAAATGGCTGGCAAGGCGTTAATAAATAATTGATGGTTTAATAAATCATTAATGAATTGCTATAGAGTTCAACGGGTCAAAGATGGTTTATAACTCTGACTGCGCAATTGTTAGCAACACCGCTCACTGACAAGCTTGCACTCCGTTAGAGTACATACTCTGCTTGTTTTTAATGTGCTAGCAGCATTCAATAATACTCTATAAACCCGTTATAAACTGCACAGAAAAGAACCCGCATTTTAAAATGTGCCTGTATTTGGTTAAGTTTGCTAGAAATTCAAAGTGTGAGGGCTTTTTGGAAGGCAGAGGGAGAAGAGGAAGAAGTACAAGCCTCCTCTGCACAGCCTTTTTCAAGCTTTCCTGAAACTTCTGTAATGCAGTAGAGCTAATAGGGTAAATTTGTTATTAAGGAGTATGGGTCACATAAGTCATTATTATGGGCGACAAAGTCATTTTTTTTTGGCTGAGAGTATCTAATACTAGACATCATAATGGCTCCATCAAAGGTGTTAGCTTGTGAATTATATCAACTCCGCGCTCATAATGACCTGGCAGTGTTGAAACGGTATCGACAAAACTGAAGCAACACAGACTCTCTCAAATATTCCTTTTTGAAAATAATTTCTCTTCATATTTTCCTGGGCACACCAGACAAAATAATTGTTCTTGTTCACAGAGGATAAAATAATTTTCCTTCGGATTCTCTTTTACCCAGGGGAAATCTCTTTTTCCATCCAACTAAAGAGGTAATCTATTTTCTTTATCCTTCTACCCCAGTCCAGAAGCAGTGTCAACATGGTTAACTAGATACCTGATAGAGCTGACAGCGTGTGCATCTCCGACAGAGCAGTTAGGAATATGATGTCAGTGGAAGTGACCCATACCATTGCACTGACATTACAGCATCCCCAGGAATGGCTATTATGATGCCAGTAGAGGTGTCTAATGCCGGTACAAAGCAATGTATGAAACAGCCTTGTGTAGCGGCTGTGGAGAAGAGCTAGTGCATTGATGCAGGTAGCAGCAAAATTTTGCAGGGCTATCGTGTGAGGCACAATACCGTTTTTAGCAATTCCTTTGACTTTATTTACCAGGCGGTTAAATTTGCAGTGAAGTGACTCTAACTGTGATGCAGGTTAAAACACAATGCCTGATCATTGCCTAGCAGGTGGAGCATTTTGAGAGTCAGGGAAGTCTATGAAACCTCTCCGTGCTACTCATATTAAAGAATCCCCTTGCCTTTAATATTGATCCGTCTCAACCAGCGGGTCTCAATCTGTTTAGACTCAAGGCAGTCCTTGTTAGACTTGAGGCACCCCTTGCAAAATGCCAGCTCTTCCTCTTCACTGGTTTTCTGACTACAGAAAAATAACCGAGGCCTTCTTTTGTTGCAAACAACTCTGAAAGACCACGGCAGGTGAGAATGTTTGAACACTATGAAATCTCTGGGTATATATCACGTGAACCACATTTGCACACCTAGCAGTGCTACCATTGCATGTCACCCTTGAACGGATTTCAAGGTACCCTCTGGGTGCTGCAGTCCTCTGGTTAGGAATCACTGATTTGAACACTTAATAACTTATATGGCAGTTCCATCTTACTCTCTGAGCACCTTGCTAGGAGCGATAATGAGAAATGACAAGAATAATCATTGCATGTTTTCCCAGAGTAGTAACTGCTCAATCAGTAACTTCCCAGGTCATGTTAACATTGCTCTTGGTGACTCATAGTGTTTTAGGCTTGGCCTATAGACAAAGTTGCAATGCCTCAATTAAAGGTGAACTGCTGCACTATTTCAGGTAAAGTAGTAACACGGCATGTACACATGTCAATCTACTTTACAGTGATTCAGTGTATTTAATGAGAGTAGCTGAAACCAAGGTAAAGCAGGAATTGATGTAGATGCATATGTACACACACAAAAATACACTGGTTAAATATACAGAAGCAATATCTTACCTTTAATTAAACCCATGCAGCCTTTACTTATCTCTATCACAGAGAAGAGCACCAATCTCTGCAAAGTGAGAGGAGCAAGACCTGAAACTGTCCTATACTTACATTCCCTTTCCTTACTTCTGGTCATTTTAGAGGTAAACCTGGTCCTAATTTTCAGCAAAAAGAAATCACACATGAAGTCAAGCCACAAAGCTGCACTGTGGAGGGAGAGAGCATTTCTAATGCTTGAAAAGACATGGCATCATGTGCTTACATGGTAGGAAGCCCTTTCTTCTCTGTCCATCGGACGGGTGACGTACATCCTGCCAGATACGGGATCGATGCTGAAGACTTCCATAGGAGGCTGGTCGGCTCCTACTCCAGTGATGCTGTATCTGATGTGGATCTCACTGTCCTTATCAGAACGAATCTGGATAAAATATTAAGGATAGTAATCATTTAGTTATGGAGAAAGAGTCACGGCATCACTGTTCAAATAGTTTTACAGTAAGAGCCTGATCCTGCAAGCCTGCTGTAAACTTCACTCGGTGAGTTGTATAAGCAGATTTTGGACATAAACCCATCTATTCGAAGAATTTTGAACAGATTTTGCCCCCACTTCTTTAGAAATGTCCCTCTGGAAAGTAGAATACAAAACTGACTGATGCTTTTCCTGAGTCTCAGAACTCCATGCATTTGCACACACAATTTATTCACTTGCACAGCCAACTGCAATGATTAAATGATGTAAGCAAATAACCAGGGCTGAGATTTTTAAGTGGTCTAAGGGAACTGGGGTCCAAGCTCCTTGGAAAACCCTGGCTTGGACCTCAAGTTGGGCATACAGGTCTATATCTTTCAGAGCAAATGTAAATATTAGTTATGTGCTAATACTATTAATATAAATATGCATTATCAAAATATGCATTATCAATCAGCAACAACGCCTTTAAAATTAGACATATAATTCTATGCCTAATTTATGCACACTTTATTGTGATGAAATGACTAGGGATGCCTTTGAATCACCTCGAAGCAAACTGAGCTTTCAGGAAGGCCACCCTCTAAAAAAAATCCTGTTCAAGACATTTGAAGACAGGGCCTCAAAAACACAGGTGCACAATCATTAGTTTTGCACTTTCAGGCATTCTAGCTTTGCACCCACACATGCAGCTGGAAATCTGAATATCCAGGTCATTATGTCACCCATCATACAAGCTTGCTAGCTTGTTAATGCAGAGTTGAGGATGCCTTTCAAGATGCCACCATTACACTGAATTATTTCTTAAGGGAAAAAGCACTGAAGCATTGCTTTTGAAACGCACTCCTTCCCTTCCTCCCACACCTTGAGAAATACACAACAAATCAAATCTGGCATGAAGCATTGCATGAACTTTGAGTACGTAGACAAGAAAATAAAACGGTAGGCTCAGATGTTACCCTAGCAACCTTGACTATCTCTTTAAATCTTAAATCTAGTTAATTTTCAGATCAGCCGGTTAAAGAAGCTCCCGTAACATCAGGCCTTTTTCTGAAGGAAAAGGCAAGGAACAAGGTGCAAATAAACAAGCCCCCACTCCCTCACTGTCACAAAGTGTCTGATGAGCATCGGGGTGACATGTGTATATTCCTTCCCTTCCCTTCTCTTCCCTTCCAGCTTTCTGTATATCATAAATTAGTGGGAAGATAATAGAAATCCATCTTGTAGCTGAATGCCTTTGATATGGCAGCTGCAGTCTCTGAAAAGTCTGAGCACTTTAATACAGTACACAGGAAGCACAAATTAAGAATTCCTATTCTAGGTGATGGGAGGTGGTTTTCCAGGGGAGAGGAGGGTGGGTTTATTGAACGGAATTTGGGAAGGGGGTGGGCTACTATTCAGATACCCTCTTAGGCAGAACCTATCGGTACCACTTTCGTCTCCTGATTCAGGTCCGACAAGATGCTGGATGTGCGATAATAAAAGAACGTAGACAAGCAACTCTGAGTATCCTCGCTGTGCCTTTGCCCAGAATCGTTACTTCGTTTGCATCCTGTTTCTGTGGACCGATTCCATGTAGCAGCCTGCTACCTTTAACAGCTATTAATCTTAGTTATCACTAGAAATGACCAGGATTGCTTCTTTTTGGACCTATGTTTCTGGACTGAAGGTGAGTGAAGATGGGAAGGCTCATCAGTCTCTCCCCTGCAGGATTCACTGCTTATTCAGGTTGCCAGTACCAAGAATAACCGATTGGAGTTACACTTGCATGACAGTTTAGAGTAGGTACAAGGGACATTTTCTACGTGCCCTCAACTTACCCGTGCCCGACAAGCACCTAGCCAGTTGCATTAGCGAATTTTTGGGTGCAAACAACTAACTTTCAACTTGGCTTGCAGAACCCTGGATTTCAAGATTGCACATTTTAAGGGGCCAGCTTTCACTCTGGTCACTGGGCAGCGGTCTAGAATTGAACATAGGTGAAATGCTGCAGAAAGGAGCTCCATTCAAGAAGCTCAACCTTTAGCAAAAATGCTTTTCATAAATAAAAACCCATGCTCATAGATAGACCTATCAACAGAAAGCAGGATGAAGATAAGTCTAAAAGCCTTTCAAAGGCATTGCTAGTGACTCTTTCCTTAAGAAGGCTGGAAGGAGAACAGGAGGTGCCCTACCAAAATGTATAATAGTTTGGGGACTCTGTCTCGGGTACAACGCATAGATTCTGTAATTTCACAGAACTGATGCATCAGTGAACACCTCAACGTGCAGATGGCCAGCCATGGGCAAGCAAGGTCTCTGACACATTCACCTGCCTTGTCTGAAAGAAGCTACAGTACAAACACAAGAAATTGTTAAATTTTAATTATATCCTCTGGGCTGAGCACACAATCACGTTAACAGGGTTTATCAACAGGGAGTGGACTATCGAACATTACCAAACTGGAGAACGAAAGGACCTAGAGGCTTGGAGCAGGAGTTTCAGAGGAGAACCCATGGGTAGGTATGGCATCTTGGACACCCTAAAAGGCTCTGATGAAAGTCTCAGAAATGCTCAGAAGTGGTATGACAAGGTACTTTGGGTAAATCCGATATCTTTTATTAGACCAACTCCAATATCTTTTATTAGACCAACTCAAATAGACCAACTGTATTTGAGTAGGTCTAATAAAAGATATCAGGTTTACCCAAAGAATCTTGTCTTCCTATGTCCTTCGACCAACACGGCTCCAACCTCCACCCCTGAAACACAGGAGGGGTAAGGAAAGGAAACTGAGGCAGGGGATGGGCATACAGGTGTTTTACTGTTTCTACCTAGATGCTCTAGATCTGCACATTGCTTGTGCTCTCTGAAGAGTTACTGTCTCAGAAACTTTTGTAAAATCTGGGTGGTATATACTGCGCCTGCTATACATCCCTGAAAGAGAAACTATACACCAGAGTGCCTACAAGTATGGAACAAAGGAAACAAGATGTGGGTAAGGAACTGGGGTGTCTTTGCAGGGGTTTGCACTGCTCAGGAGCACAGGGCAGCTGGACCATAAGGTCCCACTTCGGTGAAGGGCTAACAGACTGTCTGTAACCAGGATGTGTGCAAAAGAGGTCAAAGAAACAGTGCAGGAAAATACCCAACTCCATGGGAACCCTAACAGCTACGGGCCCAACACGGTGGGGCCCAAACAGAGCAGCAGCAGGAAGAATCAGAAAGGACAGCTTGATTTCAGCTGTGAAATGGATGCAGACTTTTAAACAGAAAACAGCTCCCATACCTGGGAATGAAAACAGAAGAAATCATAAGGTGAACTGGAGTTTAGGAGGTGAGCTGTGTTGTTTTAAAAAAAAATCTATTTCCTGCTCCACATTGTGCCCATATACGTGTACGGAGAAAGAGAGAGGCAGAGAGGAGGTGGCTGGATTTGAATATTTGCTCCTACGTTTGACTCTGAGGACATACACAGGCAGAGCCTCTCCGTGCTCTGCAGAAAGCGATGTACAATTCAACAAAGTGCATGCTTTAAGGATTCCCTGCATTTCTTTTATTAGATTTAATGAGGGTTAAGCTGTCCATATGTAAATCACTGCAGATCCAGGAGATGAAATACACCACGAGATGCATCTGAGTTTGTCCAACTGTAGTAAGAAAATCTATGAGATAATTATACTGCATTGAGCCAAAGGACGATAGCGGGATAAATGCTGCAAACGCTCAGCAGTGACTCATTATTTGTTGTGCACCATGAACCCAGTACTGTGGTTGGCAACTTACCTGCACTTCATTTCATTTCCAGCACAACAACAAAGGTACTTGGGGTTCCAGATAAATTAGATAAGGAGAAGCGGCATTTGTCAGAGAAAGCCACAAAACCAGTGACAATGCAACATAGTATGTGTTATCACCGGTGAGATGTCATCGTGCAAAAGCACATTTATTTGGTATCAGACCCTGCCATTTTAACACACTTAATGACATTGTTTTTGAAGAAGAAAATGTATTTTAAAGTGATCCTGTAACATTTTGGCCAAACGCCTTCATTTGTGTAACTCCCAGGGTACAATTCAGCAAATCTGGGCTAGGACATAAGAATGCTACGTGACTACAATACAGTCTACTGATTTTGTAGAAACCATGACTGAACCAGTTTACCATAACAAAAAAAATCACTGTTTCAGGGAATTTACTAGATTGGGTTGAAATTCTCTGTTTTGGGGGAATTGACTTGATCAGGAGAGAGTAGCTTTTCCTTTGATTTATGTCTGGTAAATGAGAAAACCAGAGCACATTCTTATCATAATAGTATGAGTGAATAATACACACAGGCATTTTATTCACTTACCTTTCAGTTTATAACGCAACTGAGAATTATGCTAGATTTTTTGGTTTACAGAACAGATGGTGAAAGGTTAGTTTTCTTGAAATTTATTAATGTATTTTCAAATTTTATTATTGTAACATCGAGCCCCCTGAGCTTTGAAGGCCGGTTGTGCTAGATACTGCACAAATAGGTATAAAGGCATACTTAAGAGATGTGCAAGTTAATTTATGAGGCTTGGTGATCATTCTAACAGGGATTTGTTCATTATATGATGGCTTTCACTCTCAACAAATACGTAGGAGGGAAGTTAGCTTTTTGGGTTGATGATTATATCAGTAATTAAAAATAGAGAGATCATTTGATTGAGACTGAGGACGGTACAGTTCCATAGATATATGTTGTGATATGGCTCCCCCACATCATGGGGATACTCCATATTGCGTATTTTGCCAAAATATGGAATATGTTTCCAAGGGAGGTGGTGCTGTCCCCTTCCTTGGAGTTATTTAAGAGGAGACTAGACCAACACCTGGCTGCGGTGACCCCAGTACGCTTTCCTGCCCAGGGCAGGGGGTTGGACTCAATGATCTAATAGGTCCCTTCAACGCTAAAATCTATGATATCTATTAAATCGTT